AAAATAGGAGAAAATTCAATCAAAATTTGAGATTTCACATTTCTTACATTGTATTTTTTAACGGATTGCCTTGAAATTCGGTACGTGAAGTAAGGGTCCCATAGAGCACCTCCACTGAAAATATGTGATGACCACAGTCCGAACTACAGAAAGTGGAAGATCACTCAACTATCACTCCTGTAATACACACTGTGTCCTGCTGGTTGTTTTGACCGCGATTTTCGTCATTCCTTTTATATCCCACTTTTAGCAGTTATGGGATACCGCAAACATTACCAACCAAGTGTCACAAAAAGACGTGAAGAAAAAAGTAAAAATTTTGTATAACTTTTTAAAAGTTTTTAGTGCTGACTGAAAGATACAAACCATTTCTATAAATATAGCAAACAACTTCAGATAAATGTTTTCTTTTTTTTAAATTCCACACGACGTTTCAACTTACGTTTTTTTTTTCCCAAGGGTTTTTAAACGTTACAGGCCTCATCAGGTCGGCTAGGATACGACACACAGTAACAGTTTAGGCTTCAATTTTTTTGTGAACAACAACTGTTATGGGAGGGGGGGACAGATTAATCGAGTGAATTGTAATTTTTTTCCTATTTTTTATTTGAATCAGATTTTTTATAGAATCAATAACACAACATTATGTATGTTAATATAATTTTAACACTCACCATTTTAATTAATTATTTAAATTTATTTTTTATCTGACTTTACTATGATTCATAAGAATGACGAAGCAGCAAGCTAGTCTTGTCCAGACTTGTCGGATTGAGGTCCCCTTTCACAGTATATTCTCTCACTGTATAGATCAGTTAGAGTTGAAACGTGACGTCACTCATTCAAGCGTGACGTCACACGAGTACTCGTGTATCTAGAAAGTCTACATCCTTCATGGAACACTTAAAAAGAACTTAACGACGTCCCTGACAGAAGACAGGACTGTCAACTGCCACCCAAATACGTCACTTAATCCTTTCTTTACCGTTACTCCACGATATAGCGTTGCTTCAAGTTATGCTCACCCCCCCTCCCTTTGCGGCGTTTACACGAAGTGTAATTTCTTATGAGAATTAGAAAATAAACTGCTCGAGCAATTTTTTTTTAAAATCACTTTTAGATCTCAAGTACATCGAGTTTCTTTTCTCGGGTTTCAGAAGACGAAAGCTTTGTTCGCATTCAACAAACGTTTTGACTCAAGCAGGAGTATTGTCATGCCAACGGAATGATGATGAATAAGACGTACTCGATGTTCGTGATGATAAATATGATGCACATATTGGAGAATTTAACAAGTAAAATCGTTTAAAAATAAGCTTAGATTAGTTTATGTCTCTACAGTAGTTTTTCCTTTAGCACAATGGGCTGTTTATGCTGTGCCCACCACAAGGTCCCGAAATTTAACGTTACAAACCCTCAAGCTCTCTGGTTTTGATACCCATGGTGGACAAAGCACATTTTAACTCATTGGGGAGCTTTGAGCTTACCAACAAACACTGCTGGGCCACAGGGGGGTTCTAGTGGGTATGGGGAAATTCACATTGTTGTGACATCTTACATCGAGAAACTGTAAAAACACAACAATTCGGCTAACTACAGTGTGCAAGTAACAATGTGCAATTCCATAACAAAAACACCATTGTTACTTGCACACTGTAGTTAGCCGAATTGTTTGTGATTCCATAACAAAAACACGCATTGTTACTTGCACACTGTAGTTAGCCGAATTGTTTGTGATTCCATAACAAAAACACAACAATTCGGCTAACTACAGTGTGCAAGTAACAATGCGTGATTCCATAACAAAAACACAACAATTCGGCTAACTACAGTGTGCAAGTAACAATGTGTGATTCTATGACATTATGAGTGAAACAGAATAACGTGTAATAATGGGAGGGCCCACACGGGTGGGACTCACTTTGCACACCTGATAATTTGTGACGTACCAGAAGTGTACAGTTCATCTTGTTGACAATCTACAGTGGAATGTCTGTAATTCTGACCTAAAGGAATTTAACGACGCCCTGCTGCTTCTAGGGCTGGAAAATCCATTTTTGTTTCTGCTGAAATACCCCCATAGCTATGAGACAACAATAAACAGCACGTGCTTTGTAGGAAGATAACAACAGCAAGCTTCATCTCTTTTGTTTCTTTTTCGGCCAACTTATGGGTACATCCGGGAGATGAATTGTTACCAAATTAAAATTTTTAGGCAGTTATTAATACTTTCCGAAATATTTTTTTTAAAGAGAACTTTTTAAAAGATAATGTAGTATAGAAAAAAAATCACTGAAATTTATGGTTGAATTTTTTTTTTTATGTACATTTCCTACCGATTTTCTTAGTGCTGAGACAACGTTGAAGCACGAGACGTTGTCCCAGTACAAATAAATACAGAAAGATTCGCACAAACAAACAAAAAATTAAACAAGTTAATCACCGAAGAAACGGATATATTTTCAGTGTAGTACTTGTAACTGTAGACTTGGGAAATAGCCTCTTAGAATTACGATATTTTTAAATCATTTCTAGCCAAGCCACGGGTAACGTTCACGACATAAAAATACAAGCTAAATTGATAAAACACCGACTTTTGTACTTTCACAACAATGAAAATGTTACGTCTTTACAACAATGCTTCTAATGACTTCAAGCATTTATTATTGTTATACTTTACTGATCTGTTTTATATTGTTTAATTTACGCAATGCTGATTGGAGCGAAGTACACATTATTATAAATAAATGGAACAACATTAAACTTCAGAGAACCCGACAAGTTGTTTTATTTGCTTAACATTTCGGTTTCACGTCTTCATCAGGAGCAAACAATTTAGGTAAAGAGTTCAATCACTCAGATTAAGACAGTGGTTTTATTTATTTGTAATATTTTGATTTATTGTTCTATTCATTGTTTTAAATCAATCCCATGCTCGCCCCTATGTGACAATAATACAAAAAAAACAAAACAATAACATTTCTAGATATGCAATATAAAATGACAGCTATTAAACATACGTCCAGAACGATCAGTTACAAGTCACACCGAATCTCAACTGAGTGGTTCTTGGACAGAATTAGCTATAATACAATTATTCAGCTACCAGATCTGGCAAGGTGACCTTGCCTCCTCATACAGCAACCCTAAAGTATCCTACTACACAGAATATTTTACTTTATATTATATATGCATACATCTTACCGCTTTCACCTGTATATACAACTGGTTTTTGTATCCTCTTTCACCATTCTCTGTCAAGGCTACAAAACTTTCTACAGACTTTGTTTGTTTTACTTAAACCCCTATATGCCCCAAAGGAAGAATATTCGGTGACTACCAAAATTGAGAGATTTTAGGAAGGCTTTTTATTCTGTTTTTTAAACATTATTCTAGTTTTACGGAAATGGAAATTAATGTATCACTCGATGTCTTCAGAGTCACTAGGCTTAGTAAACAAGTCGGTGGGAGTTCCATCTCTTTCAAAGAAAGAGCAACTATGGGATTGTGTGGACATAAATACGGGAACGATTTTCAAGTTGGGGGTGATGAACGTCATAAAATCAGAAGGTTTCGTGTAATATACACATGTCTTCAATTAGTATTGGGGGGGGGCGGGACCGTACTCTCTACACCCCACGTCTGTGTGTGTGTGTGTGTGTGTGTGTGTGTGTGTACGGAAATACAGCTTTTAATAAATAATTTGTTACAAATGTTCGCTAGTAAGTCAGATTCATTCATGAACTAACAAGTTAATCAGGAGTTCGAATAAAAGTTGGCTAGCAAGTTTTATCACATGATTTCGGTCACCAAAGGTCATTCAGTGCGTGGTCAATGTTCTCTTGGCTAGCAAACAAGTGGGATCTGTTATCAGGACGTTGGGTGTTTACTTTTCTTTCCATCATTCGTGAAAGACAACAACCACATTTCGAAAAGAAATGATTATCACCAAGTTGTTTGGTTACTAGCAACAAAACTTTCGAAACTCTTTCAAAATATCAAGTCTGAGTTTTCAAATTGAAAAATTTAATAACCATTACAATGTCACACGAACCAACGAAGTTCAAGGCAGTTCACTATATTTAAAAGTACGTAATGTGGTCCTATTATACAAACTCGTTCCAACCTATTGTCACACTTCACCAACAATGTGGAGCAAATAACTTTCATTTTCTATGGAGAAAAACAAACTTGTTTTTACAATTCAGGCGTTCAACAATGGTGAACGTTGTTAGCACGTGTGAACAATGTATATTCTTTATTACAACAATCTCCAAGCCAAATACTTTTCACTCAGCATACTAATTACTAATGCTAACATTTAGTTCCAGACCTACGTAGGTACTAATATAAACAAGACAAGTCCGATATCAAACGTATCTCATTTTGAAATTAATTATTTTTAAATTAAGTTGTTCCGCGAGTTTTAAAATGTTTCGCTACAAGTTTCATTATGACTAATTTTTAATATCCAATTATGATAATTAAACATGCAAAATTGAATGCATTAACTTTTAAGCCTGAATTAACAACAGTTACGTTATTAAGAAAATGTTAAATAAACGCGACAGCAATCCAATTTTAGAACAAGAATTTGACCAAGTCAATTTCTTGTTTTAAAATGTTAAAAATTGTTGCAAAAATATTAAATGAATTCCCCTAATTTAAAAAATATACATTTCTTATATTAAAACAATATATATAAATAAAGCTTTAATTAGACCATTTAAGTTATCCCTTTATCAGATAAAGCATTCATTTCTCGACTGGAAGTGGAAAAATGTTTTTAACTTTTCTTTTTGTAATTAAAAAAAAAGGGTTTTCTGTTTGGAATTAAGTGATATTTCTAAATCTTTTTATTTCTACGATATGTTAAAAAAGTCTGGTACGAGATTTTCTTAATTGATTACCAAACGATGGCCAATTTCCTTTCATGAACTTATAAGTGTTAATTTACTTGATGTTGTACAATTTTATAGTTATCTAACGACCCAACTTACCTCACACGGGTGTACAGGCGCTGAACTTGGCCCAGCGTGGGACGAGGTTTTTAATTTTACTACGCGGCTCAAGCACGACCCATCAGGTAGATCTTTCTCGGCGATTGTCTGGTTAATTTTTTTGTTTCTCTCACACGCCACGTTTCTGAAATAAGCAGTTGCCAGGGGTTCATCGGTCTTAAATGATACACCTTGATTTAAATACTGTGTAAACTTGAGCTTTGCGTTAAGACTGTTCGTATCATCAAGTCCAGATTCGTCGGGCACCGAGCTTGAAGTTGAACTTTCGCGCATCAGTTGGCTGGGAACTGTTTTCCTGCCTTTCCGTCTAAGCATTCTTCAACGCCTAACTTTTTTTAAAGGCTTTTAAATACTGTTTACCGTGTTTCACTCAATAATGTGATAGATGGCAGTTGTAAATGCAATATTTTCAACGAATACAATTGTATCTAAATAGTTTGTATACAAACGACACAATTTATCACAAACTCACTCAAACACATAGTTCTAAAACAGCATTAAATTTTTTTCACCATGCAGACGCCTAAATAACTATCCCTCGGTTGGTGCTGCCCTCTACATTGTATATAGTAAGAAAGTCGAGTTTTTATTTCTTGAGAGGACCTCTACAGCGACAGGGAGCGTTAATAAACAAAATTAAGAAAAATAAACCTAATATTTAACCACCCAGTGATTCCGCTTTCGATTTGGCTCAGTGGATAAAAAAACCAAACGGTAATTTTGTTTGTTTGTTTGTTGTTAAGTAAAAACTTGTAAAATGGGCTATCTGTGCTCTGACCACCACGGGTATTTATGGAGGGGGGGGGGGTATTTATCTGGTCCCTTACCAAAAAGAAGAAAAAAGTTTTTGGACAATCTAAGTACATCATGTCCTCACACTGTCCCACATAGAAATAACACGTAACATTCTTTACAAAAATATAATAATGTTACGACAGCGGAGGTCACGTGACTCTAATAACACGTCATGCACTTCTCGAACGTTCACGTCCCTTCCTGAATGCTCGAGAGCCTACTAGATATGCGGTAGTCTTGTATATATAAGACGGTCAAGACGTGACGGCAACAATGTAATGCTGTGTAATTGAACTGCAGACAGAGAGAGAGAGAATATTGTTGAGTCGAGCACGTGAGACGTTCGTTGTGAATTATAGCGTTTGTTATAGCGCGACTGTGGAAATTAAGTATATTGCAAAGTTGTATTCAGAAAGAATAAACCAGTTTTATTTACGAAAGGACTTGTGTCGCTAAAGTTTCATCGGAAAGAATTTTTACGGAAAATTAACTAACGGACTGTGGCGTAACAATAAATTACAAATATGTTCCTCCACCACTTTAGATCGCCAGTGGTCGTCACGAGACAGGAAAGGTGCCGTTTGCATTGACACCCCTTTAAAACCCTGTGCAAAAAATAAATTTTTAATCTCTCAATTTTTCTTTTTACCAATAAGTTATTAATTTCTACACCATTCAAGCAATCTCAGTATTTTTCAAAGAATACCCAGGATCACGAATATTGCTAATATATTCTCTTGTAAGATCAGGAGTGAAGAAAAATATTTATAAGCTCAGACATCTCACAGTCTTCAACAAAAACTTTGCCATCGGGCTTCTTTAAGGTCCCAATCCACATTTTAACATTTTGTTCTCCTTTGGCGTACTTAAAAAAAACAATAAAACTTACCGTTAGTTTTGATATGTAGCAGAACATCAAACTAAACGATGCAATGATCACTTTTCCACAAATGTTTCTCAACTTGAGCTCTTTCAACCACACCTTTATTAGTGATCAACAATAAGTTTAAAATTGCACCCCTTCTGGTTAGCTCTCTGACCATTTGCTATAGACGATCATCTAAACAACTTCAAACTCATAGTCATGCTTCATAGATATCATTAGAGTAGCATATGAATCTTTTTGTGATGAGAGTTAGAAGCTTGAATCAAAAATTAGTTGACAGATGCATTGTCGTATTGTTGTACATATATTATTGTAGTGTACATAGTTTTAACTGTAGAATATAAGGCAAGGAAATAACTAAGTTTCTTTCGCACTAGTTACCTATTGTTCTGGATTATTCACTTATGGTATCACGTAAGTCTTCTCATGAGAAAGATTTCTGAAGAGTGAAACTCACTATGAAAGTGGACAGTGATCTTTTCCACTAGTGGGTCAAGTGATAGCTTAAGAATATAACTTCCCTTAATTTTCATTGGGAATGACCAATAGTGACATGGGTAGTTCACGCTTCCTTAGAAAGGTAGCATAATATTTTCCTGGTTTCCTCATAGAATCGCAACAGTCGTTGTTGAGAACTCTGAAGTCTCCAGAAAAGATGTCGTCCTCTCATTTTGTTCTTCATTGTCTGTACGAAAAAATAAAGATTGATTCATATTGTGTCCAATCTTTCTTTTTCACACAAAGACAGAGAATACAGTTTTACTTTGCATAACATCTTCCACTGACCCTTCTGTTATTCTGCAGAACATACCTGATTCATCTTGGGGGAAATCAGTTCACTTGAGAATACCACAGTTGATTGATTACTGAGTTACCTGCTACTCCAAGTCTATGAAAATTGAATTTGTGTTTCAATAATATATGAAAGATATGGTAGTATTGTTCATACAAGAATGAAGTTCCTAAGAAGTATATCTACCCAAAGGCAAGGCTTGACTCTACTTAGGATGCTTTATATTTGTCAAAATGGTGTTCCATATTGGACCTGAAGAATGGGTACTGGAAAGTGGTCGTTGATGAAGCAAGTCAAGAAAAGACAGCTTTAACTGCAATAAATAGATTGTGGAAATTTGTTGTGTTAGCATTTGGATTTTGTAAAACATCTGCTACATTTGAACAACTAATGGAAATGATCTCTCTGAACTACCCTGGAATGTTGTACTCGTCTATTTAGATGACGTAATCACACACATGATCCTTGTTGTTGGCTGAGAAAAGTATTGAGTCAATTAAGGAAAGAGAACATTAAACTGAAACACAAGAAGCGTCAGTTGTTACATCACTAGCTGTGTTTCCTGGAGCACACAGAGGCACTGTCCAAAAGTCAAGAAAAGGAACGAAAAGGACAACTAGGGCAGAATTGTGTTGGAGAACTACTTGAGAGAGTTGCTGTTGTTGTGCTTGGTTCTTTACCTCATTCTCACCCAGGAAATAAGTACATCATGTTGATGATGGGTTATTTCAGCAAGTGGCCAGAAACATATGCTGTTTCTATCTAGGAATCAGAAAGTCTAGCAAAGAAACTTCTCAATGAATTTGTTTCAAGTTTTGAGCTGCCTGTGGAATTTTACTTCTATCAGATATGTAACTTTGAATCAGCATTTTTTTATGTAGAGATGTGCTAACTCCTTAAAGTCAGGAAGACCAGAACCCCAATTCTCCATTCATCTTCTGATGTAAAGGTGGAGAAATATAACCATACACTTTTAAACCAATAGGTCATTTATAACATAAAAAAACACGGAATCAAGATCTTCTACTTCTACTCATGAGTTACCACGTATCTAGGCAACATACCAACATCACTGACGTCAGAAAAAACACGTAGATTCAAGAAGTTTTGATACAAAAGGATAAAAACCTATAATCCGAGCGCTTTCGAAAGATGAACCTTTATTCTTCAAGGGAATGGTGGTGTAATTGAATGAGCGATAAATCAAGGGAGTTGAGTGACGTCATGAAGGTCATCTGGTCTTCCAGGAAATGTTCAGTATACTTTTCCATGTACAGTTGTAAATGTGTTTCAGTTCCAGTACCATGTGGGAGGTGGAGAGAGTGTTTTGTAAAAAGGTGTTAGGAATGGGATATTTTGCTTTAGAAATGGTTAAAAAAGAAATTAATAAAACTATACTTAAGTATTTAAGTAAAATAAAGGTCACACCTGGAGACTAACTGAAAAAAAGATGTTAAGCTAATTAATTTATACAAACAGGTATGGAAAATTATCTCAAATAAATAGTAAATTTTGGGAAATTGAGCATTCATATTACATGAAAGAAATAAGCAAAGAATGAAATTTATTTTTCTGACAGAGATGAAACCAATGAACGTAGATCACTCATTTCTGGATCTAGATTAATTCCAAAAGGTCAAACAGTGTTTAAATTAGCGATCCAGTAAGCTTCTTTTATCTCTCTATCAGCTTTAATTTTGAATTCTGTTTCAATGCCAATGAGAGTAACATCGTTAACGGAATGACCAGGTTGGTTAAAGTCTTGAGTAACAGGGAGATCTTTTTCGGTATCAATAGAAGACTTATGTTGTAGAAACGTTCTTTAAGAGTCGTTTCGGTTTGTCCTACATACTGGTGATTGCATTTTTTTGATACTGTATAAGGTAAATGGTGTTTTATGTTCCACAATTTCTTTGGAAATTTTAAACTTTCTTTGGTTGTGTTTGTCTACTAACTGATCTAACCTTTCAGAAGGTGAAATCTCATAGGACATTAACGGTGTTTATTAGCCTTACTGCATATTCTGCTCATTTATGATCCTCATATGTGAATATGAAAGATCCAGTGATACAAAATGATAAAACCCTATGACTCGAGCACTTTCGAAAGGTGGGCATTTTTTTTTCTTCGGGGCAAACTGGGAATGGTGGTGTAATCAAATGAGTGATATATAAATAAAGGAGTCGAGAACTCTAAAAGAAAACCTTGTTCACACAAAAGTGAATTACATCCTACCAAAAATGGTTGTCATCCATGCAATAAAGCTCGTTGTCTAGCCTACAAGTTTATAAAAACTACTGACTCATTTTGTGTAACAGGAAAAGTAGCTATGATGTAAATAATGATAAGACTGAATTTCATCATGTTGAAATGGTATAGCTGTACAATTCATGCTAAAAGAAAGTGTGGTCTTCAAAATCAACTAGATGTTGAGAAAGACACTATGCCACTGTGAAAAGAATTAATAATATGGTTTATAGAATCCAGAATAATTCTAAGGCAAAGGTCATGTGCTATAATTGTCTTTGGAAATCTGTCAGCTAGGGAACAGCCAACTGGTTAGCTTCAAAGAAAAATGTGCCAGGGGAAATCAAACTGCTGAAGAGCTCGAGGGTCTTGTTGAAAATATCATTAATAGTAAGGGTACCCAATTAATGAAATAATCCATGCTAATCTTTATAAATGGAAACCTAAGGAACGTATATTTAATTAGCTACGCTGATTTTGCCCTAAGTACATAACATTCTCTGATGGGAGGTTAATATTACTACCTTAGAGAACTCCCGGAGTGACAATACAACAACTGTTAATAGTCCACAAAAAACAAAAAAGATAGGGTGACTTGATAGTTTATGGATAAGTAAAGAAATAAAATTTTAACTCCACTTTGTTTCATACATTTAAATTGTGGTTTAATTAATTATTTAATTACTATTAATTATTAATATTCACCAATATTAATTTTGTTAGTTGTCAAGAGTTGCATTATTATTAATCATGGATGTTTAAATGCAAAATATATTTGTTATCTTTGTGTATTAGGGCTGTTCAAGGGACTTCACAATCCAGGGAGGAGCAGTGTTGTAGGCTATGTTTTTAAAAAATTAAATGTCTATATTAATGTTGGCTAGAGGGTGTTTTGACATTACGTGATGAAAGTGGAGCTTAATGACTAAAACCTTCTTGAAATTATAAGAAACGATTTGAACGATATAAAACGCGAGTCATATTAGAGCTGTTTATTGATATTATGAGTCTGTTACAGTGGTTGATTGATTATTGGATTAGCAAGTTTGTTAGTCAGTTTGTCGATTATTTTAGTTTTGTGAACATTAAGTTTGTGTTTCAACGAAGATTCAAAGACATGAGAAATACAAGAAAAAAGAGCAAGTAAGTGAAATTATTATATTAGCGAGTGTTAGTTAAACTAACTTCTAGGACCTGAACTTCAAGAAATAAAAACGTTTTTATTAAGTGGATTAAAGTTTGCAGAATTTTATAACAAAAAATCCAAAAGAACCCACTCAACAAAAGAAGTTTTGTTTTTGGAAGCACAAAGTTACATAATGGGCTATCTGTACTCTTTTTTTCACCACTGGTATCGAAATCTGGTTTTTAACGTTGTAAACCTGCAGACTTTCCGCTGAGTTATTGAGATTATGGTCGAAAATATCATTATCAGTTGATAAAACAACGCCTTCTAATCTTTGTAAGTAACAACGTAAGAAAATATATTTAATCAACTATAATCATTACTAGATTGAATTTTATTTTCGCTTAGCGTAAGTAGCGTGCTCTGATAGAAAGTTAAGTTTACTTTATGTGACAAAAGCCTTGTGATAGCAAAATATTTCTTAAAAAAAGTAAAATATATTTATCATTTGAGTTGTTTTTTACAGGGCTTACTCATACAATACCGAAGCAGGAATTTCTTGCTCAACTTGTTCATTTAAAACCAGTTACTCGGCATGCAGACCCTTAGCTATTTTGATGGATTGAATGTTTTTATAAACTTTTTTTTAAGAAAAAAGAATGAAGTCAGATAAACCTGTTATAAATGACATATCTTAAATATTCAATTACGTTACATGTATCAGAGTAACATTTTGTCAATATATTCACAGTCTTCGATATTCTACAAATGCAACACATTTATCAGTTTTAATGGGATAATTATATTGACAACTTGATAGTGCGATAAAACGAAACTTGTCAGTTTTCTACAATTAGTACCCTTGTTTATTTCTGAAATTATTTGTGAAACAAACGTGGCCTAACCATGATACAAGTTGCTACGCCTTCTGGCTGTAATACTGCACCATTTGGTTCAGTCACCCTGACACGCATAATGGCGGTCAGTGGGTTGCGTATATTTGTGTTTGACAAAATATGAGATTTTAAAACGTTATGTGTCAGTTTATTTTGTCCCAACAGATTTGAGAAACTCTTGACTTACAACAATTTTATAGTAAGTGTCTTTAATTATTCAAGTGGAACTTAACATACGTAGACTAATGATTTGAGGCTTTTAGTTTTAGTCTGAAGACGTTGTGGCTCGTACAACTACAATTTACTCTCGACGCAAGTGTATACTGTACTGGCTATTCCAGTACCTGTGTAAATCTTTTAGTTGAACCGAATCGTATTAGTAGTACGGTGTGGAAAATAAGGTGTTGTGAGTCGAATTTGTTATTAAAAATCGAATCAGAGCTTAAACTGTTTGAGTGTAGTCCAACCTTGGCAAAATACGTGGATTAGAACATCTTTTTATGAGTTTTGTAATCTTACCTAAAACTTTTATTAAAAGTGAAATAGCATTTAAAATTTTAAGTTTATAACTCAGGCAATATTTAAATTTTAAATAAATAAGAAAGTGAGTGACTATGTGAAAGTAATAAGAAGACTATCAACTAATACGTTAACTTTAAGGAATAATAATTTAATTTAATTTAAAATTATAATTGTTTATGCCAGGGATATTCAAGTGTAAAAATAAGTTGTAGACATTGTGGTTTTTAATTTATGTAGTATTTAAGAACCATCTTAATTCTAATAATAGTAATATAACAACCTCGTTAACTACCACGTTTTTATTGTAAAATGTAATTAGTTGTAGTCCATAATGGAATACATTTTTCAAAGAAAATTAATATTTCAAATCGCCGTACTCTTCCCATTTTTTTTTCCTTTTATACAATTCACAATTAAAATTACGCAGTTCTTAAACATTAAATATATTGCATGAAATGAGTGATTATAAACATTTGACCTGCTACTTAAGTGTTTATTTTATGTACATGAAGTGACAAGGTTTCTTTGGCATCTAGTTTTCTATAAGTCTTTAATTTATACTTGATTACCAGTGTTCGCATCCTCCAAAAAAAAACAAACAAGTGCCAGAACCCACTATGTCATTTCAATAACAATTAGAAATTAATAACAAACAATGTACCTTTACAGTTGTCTTTTTTTTTTCAGTTAATGAAAACTAAAATAGAAAATGTCCAAAACAAAATTAAAGTGATCAGTTAATGATAAAGTAAAACTTAAAAGTTTTTAACAAACTAATGCAGAGTAATGGCATTGAAATCTATGGTTTATGTATAGAAGACGTTATTCAATATTTTATCCAGTGTTACTATTACAAAATTAATTAGCTGATTGTACTGTGCTGTAGGTGTATGCTACAAGGGCATAATTAATAATAACCCAGTGTACTTTAGGTATAACAGAGCAAAAGAAATATAAGTATGGATTTGGTGTTTGTTTCACTAATGGTGCATATTGTCTGATTTCAAAGGACACCATTGTTTATTTATTTGCCCCTTTCATATCTCTTGTTTGTTGAGCCTAAAAGGAAATGCAAGTTAAATCACATTTGTGGAAAATGTTGTACTTACAAATCAACAAAACATACCTAATATTTCATGCCATTTTATACTCGAGCAGTGTGAGTTTGCTGTTATAACATTCCAGAACAAAGCGTCACTGCAACTGAAATATTAATTGATACAATTTCACACAAATTTCACACATATGATGAAATTCAAACATAGTTTGCTGTAAAAGGATTTTTATTTATTATCAAAAAGGTTCCAGAAAAGTGCTAGAATACTATTTTGGCTACCAAAATAAGTGTTGAAACAGCATTTAGATGCTTTCTGCTATGACTTGAGCACTGTTTATAAGATATTAATAACAAGGAATCATTTGGTCTTTCAGTGCTGATCCTGTACAACCCACCCCTGAAAAAAAGTAACTTAAACCCCTCTTTTAATTTTCAGAAAATAATTGACACCTTTTAAACTTGTAAAAAGTCCGTCTCTAACAGGACATCTCATTCCATAAAACTCTTAACGAGGACCTAGCCCATCTTTTCCAAATCTTAAACTTGTGTCCTCTTTTTTCTAAATGGCTTTAGAATGTAGAACAAAGAAATCTGTTTATCCTCTGATAATTTGGTAAATTTCAATAAGATCCAAAGGTCAGCCATTTTGTTAGGGAAATAAAACTTCTTTACTGTTTCATAGTCCTACAATTCTCCTCATTAAGTACTAAAAAATATGATGCATCAATGCAATAATTCCTTTAACAGTCTTAAAAAACTTTATTCAGATCCCCTCTAACTCTTCTTTTTTCAATACAATGCTTTAAAAGATCTTAATCTCTCCTTGTATGACAACCTTTCCATTCCAAGTATCGTTCTAGATCTTCTTGAACATTTTCCAACAATTCGTTATCATTCTTAAAGTACGAAGCACAAGACTGAACACAATACTCCAGATTTGTTAACCCGCAACCTATACGGTGAAGCTATTTCTGTAGATACAAGACTGAACACAATACTCCAGATTTGTTAACCAGCAACCAATACGGTGAAGCTATTTCTGTAGATACAAGACTGAACACAATACTCCAGATTTGTTAACCAGCAACCTATACGGTGAAGCTATTTCTGTAGATACAAGACTGAACACAATACTCCAGATTTGTTAACCAGCAACCTATACGGTGAAGCTATTTCTGTAGATACAACCTAAAATCAAATTTACCCTAACACTAGCAACAGTACACTGCTTGACTGGTTTGAGACTGATGAACCAGAATACCAGGATCCTTTTGTTCCATAAGATTATTAAGGTTATTCCCATCAAAATATGCTTATAATTCACATTATTATAACCCACATGTAATACTTTGCATTTATTATAATTAAAAACAATTTTCCTATATTCACCGAACTCACTAAATAATCTTGTATTATCTTGTAAAGCAGCATCCTCCTTTACAACCCAAGACCTTAATATCATCAGAAAATTTAATTAATTTATTGACCTTCTTTCATCTACATCATTGATGTATATCTAAGAGAGAGAGAGAAGGTCCTAACATTGTGTCCTGAGGTATACCATTTGTAATATCCATCTATTTTGACTGAACTCTTATTTATAACAATCCTGTGCTTTCTTCCATCCAGTTACTGTTCTATCCAGTGAATCAACTTATATCCCTCACACCTGTACAGATAATTTTTTTGACAAGCTTTTGGTTGACATCTTGTCAAATGCTTTTTGAAAATCCAAATCCACACACTGACCCTCATCTGCTTACTTTCTGGAACTACAAATCCACACACTGACCCTCATCTACTTACTTTCTGAAACTCCAAATCCACACACTGACCCTCATCTGCTTACTTTCTGAAACTCCAAATCCACAA